AATGACTATTTCCACGATGGTGAGGGTATCAGTCGTACAGTGCTTGAGGCATATATCCACCGTTATCTCGGAAACGATGCTCTCGCGATACCGGGCACGCACCAGGTCCGATTTCCTTCTCCCTATGCTCCATTTACTTCTGATCTCACCTGGGAACCTGGGTTACATTTTCACCTGACCGATAGCTAACCAGCTTATTAGGGTCGGCATGGCTATGTCATTAGAGCTCGCCGTAATTTGAACTCTGTACGTGCTACAAGTTTTATGCCCTGGCCCTTCAACTCTGGTTGCAGGAATCAGCAATGAAGACACTAACATGGAACCTTCAATAGAACATGATTCTCGATATAAAGGCCGATTCTGCCGATCCTTCAAGACGGGAGGAGGCTTTGTCCCGCACTTGAGTTCGCAAAGTTGCGGCCCCTTCTCCGACCTCGGAATGAGATGTGCCCTGCCAGAGATGATGACTCAAGATGAAAGTACAGTGCGTTCTCAACTGATATACTGTCATTCCTCATGCTTCATAAATCTCGCATTTCACTTAGTCTTATCTTTCCATAGCCCTCCCTAGAATGATCTAGTTTCTTAATACTGGGTAGTTGGGAAAACCTCTCATTATTAATATTTATTAACCTTTCCCCAAAACCCGAAGAGTTTGAAGTTTCCTAAAACACCCCAAACACCAATCCAAACACCACTGCAAGGAAGCGCTATGGCAAAATGGCGCCAAATGTCTACCAGCGATATTCCCGGCCTCATGCGCGTGGCCGATGAGATTCACCAAGATCTACCAGAAAGTGCCCGCGTTTTTCTCGAACGCGTAAAGCTCTTTCCAGACGGCTGTCTGATCCTCGAAGAAAACGACTCTTCCGAGGTGTGCGGCTACGCCATTTCCCATCCCATCCGCCACCGCCAGCCTCCCGCGCTAGACAGTCTTCTTGGAGAAATATCACCCGATGTAGACCAATACTACATCCACGATGTTGCCGTGTTACCCAAATTCCGCGGGGCCGGCCTCGCGGGGGAATGCATCAACAAGCTCCTCACGGTTGCAGAACGGTATCCGACGACGTGCCTCGTTTCCGTCTATGGGACTGCACGGTTTTGGGGCCGATTCGGCTTTGTGGCCGATCCCGTTGATGGGCCGTTGGCGGAGAAGCTCCGTGACTACGGTCCGGATGCCACTTATCTCTCCCGTGAAAACTGTCGGATTGGCACCGGTTCTCAATGATTGGGACTGTTGAAGGGTGATATATCTACGGCACCAGGATGATCGGTTGCGAGGAGATAAACCGGTCTTCTTCGAATAGAAGCCCGCAGATATCTCAATCTATGAAGACACCGGGCCGCGTCTAAGAGTGCGTCGCGCTACCTCGCCACTATACGAACTTTCAAAGACTGACAGCTATCAGGCTTTCTTGGGTGCTTCGGTACTTGACCTGCGCGTCAACTCGCATCAAACCGGGCAACGTGGGGTCTCAGGGGTTGGGCCGATTTTGTCGGGCTTTGCGAAACGGGGCCATCCAACCGTATAACCAGAGGAGGTTTGTGGCTGCGGAGTTTCAAGTTATAATCATTGTAGGGATATCTACGGCGCATGACATAGACTCTCTCATCTACCCTAAGATCTCATGGTAGCCGCCATCCGTTGTACCCTCCTTACGATGAAGTAGCATTGAAGTAGAGTAGATGTCAGAGGGCCATAGTCGACAGATCAACGACTTAAGGCTGATGGAACGTTGAATATGCAAATAGTCGACACGTGGGAGCTTGCGTTTATGTGCGAACGGTCTCAAAAATCCCTGCTTCTGCGATTAGTCTCGATATATACATACTTTTCTTTTCTGTTGGACTTCACTTAAAACTCAAGGAGTGAGCGTCTGTAGTCAAATACTTCGTCCCTCTGCCGTCCTCTCCTTCTGAAAAGATGCTCCAAAGAGTCCATGTCAGTTCACAAGTCCTTCTTCCACAGATTATTTTCGCCAGCGTCCGAACCAGTCCAGGTCCAGGATCCGCGCCTCAGCCGGAAGTACCTTCCCCGAGATTTGAACAACCCATAGTCAGTATATTTCTTTTTCTAATTATTCATTCCCAATGGAATTTTTTCCCGGATTCCAGAAGCCGTTAATTTGATTAGTTTCTTCGTCGATCGATCCTGATCCTTGGCGATTAGTTCTGTTGCCAGGAGGAACAGGAACTTCCGGGGAGAGCTCGAGGTTCTCCGTTGTCACGACAAGTATTTTATTCCTTCTTCATTCTGCTTCGCAAGGCTTCGTTGATAATTTATCCCTATATAGCGACGCTCAGGTATTCATGCCGATATCTTCTACCCCCCAAATCACGGTCAGGGCAAAGGAAAAGGGAGAGAATGAAAATCTCTCTGCCCAACGACCGGATGCAACGCCCTAAAGTTCCACCTTTCGTTCCCACTTGTTTCCACTCAAACTCTCGCTGCCACGCGGAAGGATGTTTGAATATGGGGAAATTTGTTGTTCATTATCCTTAAATTCTTTTTTTAAACTTTCTCCGCAGTCCCCGGGATTTGGTTACTCCTTATTTCTTTTTTCCTTTTAATCATTTTTCCTTTCTTTCTTCAGTTCGGAGTCTTTCTTGAACCCCGGATTTTTCACCTCTCAGAGAGCTCTGCATTTGAGCAAGACAGGGGGATTCAACAGAACGGAAGCAGAAGGAAGGCAATAAATCATATATTAAAGGGTTCGGAGAATCGATGTCAAATATAGCTCATATCTTTGCAAAGTGAACGCGGAAGAGCTGGAACAATCCTTGTTCTAGACGGAGTTTTCCGTTCTTCATCGCGATGACTCTGACTCTTCCTCTGATTGCCGTCGGGTACCTAACCCTCCATCTCGGAGCGAAGAGGAAAAAAGCGTGTGTAAGAGACGGCGTATGACTGAACCAGATACCTGCCCAATAGACGAGGCAAGAGTAAAGGGCTGCGGTTCGAACTCCCAGGAACTCTCCAAAACTCCCAAACTGCCAACAACAACTTCAAATGAAGCAATAAGCATAAATGAGGCTAGTCGGGGAGAAGGAGAATGAACACGCTGTTTACAGGCATTAGGGGCAGGCCACGTTTGATCTCCACGTCCATCACTCTCTTTCTTTTTTCCTCTTTCTCTCTTTTTCTCAACTCTAGACGGAGAATCCGCACTCGCACTCGCACGACTTTCCGCTTTGAATCCTTTTATTCCTTTTTCCCTGGTTCGAATGAATCGGATATCCTGGGTCCCTGGGGCCCTGGGGGAAACCCTCACCAGGGTAGCTCCAGGTTCAGGCTCAGGTCAGACTCGAGACAAGAAATGACTGAAGGTCTCTGACGGCCTCCGACGGCTAATAAAAAGAATGAAAAACTCGAGACTATTGGACGAAAGCCTGGCAATTTTACCTTTTTGTCGTTTTGCTTTTGCAAATCTTCAGGCAAAAGAAAAAGAAAAAAGGGCTACGAATGGGGGCCCAACTAAAATAGGCGGGCGGAACATCGAACTTTAGGGAGGAGCCAAAGGCCCCAGGAGAGCCTGGAGGGCCCCGAGGCGAGGGTTAACCTTCTTGCGATATTATTTCTTTTTTATTCTTTTGAGTTTCCAGCGTAAAAGGGAAATGGGCAAAGGGTAAAATGGGGGTGATCAATCCCCGGAAAAGAGAAAAGTATTTATATACAATTTATCCTGCCCACGCTTCTCTCTTTTTCTTTGTCTCTTCAAAGTTAAGGAATACGCCTACCAAGCAACAAATACAAACAATCTTCTTTGCGGTTATCCACTAGATTATTCTCATTTCTCATCAAACATACCTCTCTCTCAAAGAACGGGCAAGTTCCAGTTCCAAACAAACTAGGTATGTGACTCTCTCCCCCTTCCACTTCTCAAACGACACGAAAGCAGACAAACTACATACCTTCCCCCTTCTTCTTCCAAGCTAATTCCCCAACAGAAAAGAAAAAGCCGAAAGTACAAAGTACAAAGATACAAAGAAGCCCACCTCACCCTCAAGCCCACCTCAGAATCAAACTCTACAAGCTTCCTCAACCGCTCAATATCTAAGAACCCGAACAATCCACCACCTTCCACCCGCACATATGTCCACCTGCACAACCACCACAGCGACAATCACCTCCATACCAATAATGTCCCAACCAAAGCCAACCCGTGCCCGGCCCTGCCCTCTCACAACCACCACATCTCCGTCAACCCTCAGCCAGGACATCGCCCGAGCCATGGCCACAGCCGCCTCATCACAACAACAACCGAAATACACCTCATATACGGAGCCGGACACATGTCTAGAGCACCCACCACCACCTCCGCCTTCTCCCGTGGGATTTCCCACCTCGATGGCGGTCTCGTGGGATTCTACCTCAAGAAGAGTCTAACAATCGAATCGATCGATTTGCCCTCGTTTCAAAGCTCCCATCCTCGGAGTATTCCGAATATATACCTAATCATAACTGAGCCGGCTCATTCTCTTCCCGTCACTCTTTTCAACTCGAATTTCTTTTCCGACTTCCTTATGTTTTGTCAAATGTACCACTAGAAGATGCCTCGGCTGTTTTTTTTTATTCCCTGCTATAGCTCCTTATCTCCTTTGTTTCATAATAGTATACCGTTGGGCGGGAAAGACAGGAAAGGCGTAATATGGGGGTTTCCCTTTTTTTTGTTTGTGCCTCGGCACGAGGCTTCGGTTTTAGAAGGGGGTTTCTTGTTAGTTTTTTTGCTTGCTTGCTTTCCTTCCGTTCGATTCCCCTTATATCCTTGAACTGGATCATGTTATAGAATATGTTTGTTTTGTTTTGTTTTTTTTGTGTGAATCAGAGGATTCCAATAATAAATGAAAGAGATTCTTTCCCTGCAGCTTGCTCCTGTCACTTTTTTCGAAGCGCGGAATTTCTTCCACCTCGTCACGTGCAACATATTCACACACAACACACATCAAAGCACATTAATTAATGGAGACAACTCGCGTAGACTTTCAGCGACCCCTTGGGGTCGATAGCTCAGCGGTAGAGCATTGGATTGCAGATCCAATTGTCGGGAGTTCGATCCTCCCTCGGCCCTATTTACGTATTTATTTTTTTTTGCTTTTTATGTGGGATCTCCAGCTCATCGAAGTTGATAATGTTGATTGATAGATGCCATTTAAACCTCATTACTGATAATCATTGCCGTCGTCGCTGTCATCCACATCGAAACTATCTCCATCCTCAGCGGAAGGACCCGCTTCGAAACTGTCGTAAATTTCCTGAATCGCAGCTAGCGCTTCCGAATCCCCTTGCAAGGCTCGCGTATTCAATTTCTCAAATTCAGCCATCTGCTCCTCTGTCCTCGCCCAGCCTCGAAGCTGAGCATCAAACTCATCGCTCCGTTTCTGACTGAAGGTCGTTCGGACCTCGTCAATTTCGCCTCGGGCGCGCTTCGCCTCGCTCAACCGTTTGAGGAACTTTCCCTGATTGGTGGGGGGGAAATTCTTGGGCGGCGAGTTACTTTGGACCAAGCCGTTGCCTTGGATAGGAATGTAGTTATTGGATTCCGCACCGGGGTACTCGCGAACTGGTTCAGAACTCGCTATCAATGTTCCCTTCTTTCCGATGATCTTCACCCGGTTCGCGGATATTAAATCGTATTTCTTCGTCTTCCTGACTGACGGTAGATCTGATCGTCCTTCTGGGTGCGAGAAAAGTAGCTCCGTCCCGATCATATCGGCCCAAGAGCAACTGAAGACATGGTTTTTATAGGAGATTATCGGATTGCGGGTGTGTAGGCCCATGATCTGGATCTCATCCTGAGAATCCAATCCCTGATCTGATTCTTGGGGTTCTTCTTCTTCCTCGTCGTCGTCAGATTCCTCTTCTGGCGAGGAATTGCCTGAAGGGCGTGATTTTTGGGGTTTTGGTGTTGACAGATTATCCGGGTGGGCAGCTGCTGATGTCCTTACCCTCGGAGGTCGGATCACACCGTTGGCTGAAGTCAGATCCAGGTTGATGTAGAAGGACTGGGGAGTGCATGTTAGCAAGGCATGGTCCGAAATTGGTAATGTGTACTGTAGCCGTAGGGTAGTGTGTCCCACCTCTGTCTCTGCTTCGTCATATTCATACTCCCATTCATCAGACATCGAGTTGTCATCTGTCATTTCTGCCGTTCCTGTGGCGCCCCCGGAGTTCGGATCCGAAGCCCCCGGCATTACTTTGGCATGCTAGAAGCGATTCGGTCGTACAGGAAATAATCTGGTTGGTGTAGAAGGGCCTTGAAAAGACAAATATATCCTTCTTGACCGCTCGCGATATCACAGTAACTTCCTGAGCAACTTAAGATTCGATTAATAGTAATCAGTTGGGCCCATGGTCATATGAAAGATCGCAGCATCAAAAGTTGAGCGTGTTCTGTCATAAGTGATGTTGTAGAACTGCATAAAGCCAGTCTTCTGATACGATCTAGAGGACGCACATTTCCAGGCTATCCTAGATCTTAGTTAGCAACTATGTACGACTGACATAATAGTGCTATGGATCTCAAGATAGACGTACCTTCAGCATTGGAGTGATGAATATTTTGCGACCAAAGCTTTCTTTTTAGCTTGACGTTGTGGATTCCAACTCTTATCGATAGCGACAGTGAATGTGGGGAAGAGAACAAGCTCTGTGAGATGAGCAACGACTACACTTCGTCTGCGATGAAGAAACAAAAGGGTTGGAGAATGTCTCTGTTATTTGAGAGATCCGTTGCTCCTCAAACCACTTGGTGGTTTCATGCCTCTTTCTTTTCTTTTTATGTTGTCGCTGACCATGGCAGCTGACAATCGACGAGACAATTCCGAACTCTCCAGGTCATCTCGCCGCGTTCGCCCTTTTCTCTCTTACTTCTCTCAACCACCACCATCCACCATCCTTATTCAACATAAATACTATTCATAGGTCAGCTCTTTTGGCTTTGAGATTGATTCTCTCGCTCCATTGATGTGCTAAAGCTGCGAAGAGCCGGCCGGTCATTCTTTACCTCTCCTACTCTGCACAATATGGGTTGCCATTCGGAACCCTCCACGCCAGCACCTTCATAATATCCTAATAAACTCGGCCTAAGTTGTATCCTGATAGTGAGTACATTCTCATATAATGTAGTTAATTGCGAATTGCGAGTTTCTTGAGCCCGCGACAACCGATGCGCCTGCCGATCTTCGCGAAACCCCCCACTGGTAGCCGTTGAATGTCGACGACAACCTCATGACATGAATAGTCAGCTAACTTGTAACACTGTCCTGCAGTGGCACTACAGAACCCTCATAATGGCGGTCAGGTACCGATGCTCGCGCCGCAAACCCTTCTTACGTCCACAGTCGCATCGTTCCAAAACCCCTCTATACGTCTAGATGAAGCGGAAGCTTCGGCAACCCCGGAATTGATTTTCGTCCCATCTCCTATCGCATGGGAACCCGAATCAGAAGGTGAAATAACCGGTCCGTCGCTTCTTGACAGTGAAGCTGTAGATCCCATTGGCGATGCGTCTGATGGATCAGACGGGAGAGGGCTTGAGGACCTAGTGGATCTATGGATGGTGGAGAAAATTCGCACTGCCTCTGCTACTCTCTCGTCTCTGATTTCGGATTTGTACTGGAAAAGGTTTGGGTCCGGTACAAGTGGGACCCCCAGTGAAAAATGGACGAATGCGCCTGGGCGCATGCGCTCTTGGGTGGCCGGCACATCCTGTAGTTGGCTTGGTTTATGCGAGAATGCTCGGGCCTCAATCAGAATTCACAATGCCAAAGAATCGGAACCTCCATGGGTGGAGGGGAAAAGCAAACCCGGCGATTGGGTGGGTGATGAGCGCGTTCTCAGCGAAGTACCAAGCTACGTCCACGAACACGCTCCATATGTCCACCTGTTTTCGAAAGAGAAATACTGGCCCAGCGACATGGGCGTACATCTAGATCACATTACTCCAAGACTGAACTACACACCAATCCTACCGAGTTCCGAGCATCCGACCCTTATGAACCTCGACGAGCTAAACCAATGGGAGCAAGGCCTAAATGTTTTCCTGACGAGCAATGATGACGTCGAGATGGACCCTGACTGGCTCCGGAGCCGTGTGAATATTCCCCAGCCCCTCCCTGGGGACGACGAGCACAACGTACCTCGAGCTGAGGCGCATGCTGGGGAATGTGACGGAGATTTGCTCGATGACATAAATTCCCCCGAAGAGTATCGGAGAGATGAACATGACGGGGTAGAAGCATCCGCCGGTGACGCCGATTTTGATACCGATCCAAAGGAAAACGTTACGTGCTGGCCTAGAAAGCGCCCGATGAGAGGGAAACCCGGTAAAAGCAAGGCACCGGCTGTCCTCATCGTAGTTGATAAAGGGGAAGGAATAGTGGATGCATTCTGGTTCTACTTCTACAGTTTCAACCAAGGGAATGAGGTCTTGAACATCCGATTCGGGAACCACGTAGGCGACTGGGAGCACACTCTCGTTCGTTTCGAGAATGGCCAACCCAAAATTGTATTCTGCAGTGAACACTCTTTTGGTGAAGCTTTCACATACGAAGCAGCGGAGAAGATAGGAAAGAGGGTATGGCATGCAATGAACACTCCCCGATTAGCAAATGAGCTATCTTACTAACATAAATCCAGCCTGTTGTTTATTCCGCTACGGGCTCACATGCCATGTACTCCAGCCCAGGTATCCACGACTACATCCTCCCATTCGGGCTCCTCCACGACGAAACTGATCGAGGTCCACTATGGGATCCCTCCCTCAACAATCTCGCTTACACATACGATTACAAAGACGACCTCCTCCTAGCTTCTACCTCCAACCCCCAAGCTCCGACGTCCTGGTTCTATTTCGCTGGCAAATGGGGCGATAAACTCTACCCCTTGAGTGACAATCGCCAGTATGCATTTGCAGGCCAATACCACTACGTCAACGGGCCGTTGGGCCCGAGATTCAAGAACCTCGGCCGTAAGAACGTCTGCCAGGGTGATGATGACCCATGTTTTATCAAAAGGGTCATTGGAGGAGACACAAGATCGTATCGCTGGAATGGTGTTGGCGAAGGCGAGGAGACGGGTGATGAAGACTACCATCGGTTTTTCGGAAAGGAGCCATCCGTGGAAGCTCCACCGCCGCTAGATGGCTAGAAAGAACTGTTTTTGTTTAGAAAACCTAAACCCCCTAGATTATCAGACGAGACAAAGACCGAGACGAATCTCTGCTGGTTATGAGGTGTTGTGCGTTACTCTCCCGCTGGAGGGGTATTGTTATTGCAGCTGGTACTCCTTGTTTTTGAACCGCTTCACCCAGCTGGTGCTGTTTCTCATTACGGTGTTTGGGAGGGTTGTATTAGGGTATGCATTTTAGATATTTTTATTCTCATTATCGGTCGTTCCGGGTAGAGGCGCTTCACAGCTGTGGGTTCTTTTTTCTCCTCCCCGGTGTTTTCTTGGTTACATAGATCGATCTGTCAGTTCCGGGTTTAGATATCAAAGCGGATGAATTTCTTGGTTCCTTAGTATTTCCCCGGAGAGTTAAACACCTGTGTATACATGCCCACACCCCGATCTTCAAACGCGGGGAGACGGGATGATGGAGAGGAAGCATAGGTATATAAACACTCAATTATGTGATTATCGATCGATTGGGGACACCTGAAGTACATACACAGAGTAGAAGAAGCAAAACATATAAAAAAAGAATCACACATAAAATAGAATTGATAGAAGAGAGGCAGCGGGTATGGGGAGACAGAAAAGAAAGAAGAAAGGTATAAGGGGAAGAAGGAAATAAAGCAAAAGCAAGGAGAAACGGGAAGTCCATAACTGTCGTTAGTAGGTAATACCCTGAACTATTCGTAGGATAGGGAAGAGGAAGGAGAAAAAAAAGAGAAAGAAAGAAAGAAGACATCCCCGGCCTCCCCAGTCAATCGCACCTATTACTCTCGGTGTTAAAAAAAAAGGACTCAAACCCCAAATAGAAGGAAATAAAAGAATAACTGTTCTGAGTATCCAGTTTCCCGCCGTAAAACGCCTGGATATCAAGAGTCCCAAATAATAAGGATGGGG